GTGGGGGGGGGGGGGGGGGGGATGAGCCCGGGGATGGCGGTGGCAGCGTCGGGCCGGGAGGGAGAGGTTTTATTTTGTATATGAATGATTTTTAATGAATGCAATATTAATCCTCGCAGATGAGCAATAAATCATTAAAGTCTAATTAAACTATTAGGAAAAACCGACGGGCTTTTCGCTTGTGGGCAGTTTTTTATGTGGAGGAGCGAGCGAATGCGACCCCTTGGGGGGACCCCTCGGGGGACCCCTCAGGGTTGGGATCTGCCTTTGGCCACCTCGGGAGGGGGTTTGGGTCCCCGAGGGACCCCCTGAGCATCTCCAGGGCCCCCCCAATTTGGGGGCTGACCCCCTCCAAGCCCCTCTGGGCCCTTTTCACTTGAGGTTTAAACCCCACCAGGCACCTCTGCTGGGGTCCGGCTCCCTTCTGAGCCCTACTTCCTTGACGTCTGAGCTCCCCAAGCCCCTTGATTTGAAGATTCACTCGGTCTTGACCCCACAATTTGGGGTCTGGGCCCCAAAAAACTCCCCTGCCCCTTCCTGCCACTCCCAACATGGCGGCCTCCGGGAGGGAGGGCGGAAGTGCCACTCCCAAGATGGCGGCGACCAGCGTTGGGGGGGGTGAAGGGGAAATGCCACACCTAAGATGGCCGCGCGGGGGCGGTGCTCGCCACCCGTCCGGCTGCCGCACCGGCCGTGGCCACCGAGGGCGGGCGGTGACGCGGCCGGGGCGGCGGGAGCGGGCGGAGTCAGGCCGGGACCGCCGGAGAGACCGGAGAGAGTCACCTTCCACCTCCCGGTGCCACTCCCAACATGGCGGCGGCGCTGCCCCGGCTCTCCCTGCCGCTCCCGCGAGAGGGAGGGGTGAGTCCTCGCGAGAGCTCGGCGCGGTGGCAGGGCGGCCGACATGGAACCGGGCGGCGGCGGCGGCGGCGTTGGGGGCCCGGGGCCGCTCCCGGGTAACAACAAGGCCCGCGGCGGAGCGGTGCCGCCCGGCAAGGCCCGGGACCTGGGCCGCCCGCCGCGTAAGGACTCCGAGGTCAGCGCCGCCGCCGCCGCTGCCGGGCCCGGCCCCGCGGGTGGGTGGGTGGGTGGGTGGATGGGGGTGGTTCCCGGGCCGCGTCGTCCTCCCCGCCGTGGGCCCGGGGCCTTGCCCGGGAGGTGCCGGGTGGCTTCAAGCCTGACCCGGGCGGTGCTTCCCAACCTCCGCCGTCCCCCGGCCCGGGCCTGGAGCAGTCGGTGCCGCGGTACCGGGTTCCCCTGGGCCCCAGAGTGTGGCCTGTGGGGCCGGGAGGCCTCTTTCTGCCAGGCCCGTTTGCTACCGGCTCAGCCCAGAGCCCGCCTGGGTCGGTACCGGGCTCGGGTGGGTGCTGGTCTCCCCGTTATCCGGCTTTTCGCCAAGTTTGGGTCGGTTTGGGGTAGGAGGGTGGCTCGGTCCTGGGTCCCCAAAAGGACCTGGCACCGGCCACCCTCCTTCCAGGGCTGCTCTGGGCTCCGGGGCTTCTCCCGGGCAGCACCGTCCCGGTGTGGTGAGGGCTGGGTTGTCGGGTCCCCCGGGTATCCCGTTGGTCCAAGGATGGCTCTGCCAAGAGGTGACTGATCCCTCCAAGGAGACCCGGGGGTCCCGGTGGGATCCAGGAGGGTTGGGTGTGTTTGGGTGGAGCTGATTTACCCTCCATGGTGTCCCCCAAATCCAGCGTTATTCCTGCGGCGGCTCCAGAACCATCCATCTCCACGGGTGTCCTCATGGAGAGTGGGGGACACGCTCCCCAAAATGACAGGAGAGGGCTGTGAGGAGGTCCTGCAGGAGGTTTGGGTGCTGGGGAAGGGCTCCCAGCCCCACAGAGCGACACAGACCCCCACAGACCCCCCACCCTTCGAGCAGCTGAGGGCTTGGATCAAGCCCCTCGCTCAGGAACCGATACCCTGAGATTGGGGAGGGTTTTGCTGTGGCTCCGTGTTGACTTACTGAAAGGAAGCAGATGTTTTGTGCTCTTGACTGTTTTTCCAGCCTCACCCAAGCTGTTTGGAGTTGCTTTATTCACACTATTCCCCTCTGCTGGCATTTGGCGGGGGGAAACCCAAATTTTCACCCATCTCTGCAAAACGCGTGAGCTCTGAGAGCTCCCTGGTGCCACATAACCCCCCCTCCCTGCCCCAAGATTAAACATGCCCTGTCTCCTGCTTAATTTGTTGGCTTTTTGGGGCTCGTGGGGTGTTTTGGAGGTGGTGCAGTGGCAGGGGGTGCCCGGTGAAGCGCAGCGTTGGCTCACTGCGGCGGAGCCGGGACGGAGATGCAGGAGGTGGGTAGCAGTTGCCTTGGCAACGTTTACGCCGCCGCTGCGGGTACATTTTTTGGTCTCTCGCAAGGAAGGTACAATCCTGGATTTGCAGGAGGATGAGGTGAATTGTGAATGTCTTGGGGATTTGGGGTTTTCCTGAAAAACGCTGTGATTTAACTGATTTTTTTTTTTTTCTTTTCCTCCGCTTTTAGGGCTATTCAGAGTCCCCAGACCTGGAGTTTGAATATGCAGATACCGACAAATGGGCAGCAGAGCTCTCTGGTAAGGGACTGGTCCTGATGGATCAATTAATCAGCCATAATTTTCTCCTTTAGTAATGATTCAAGGAGCTCTTTCAACTGCAGCATTACTCTGATGGCTTTAAACACCTCATTCATGTTAAAAGAGAAGCGATACTGCGTCGTTAATTTTTTTGAGCCTTATGCTGGTTGTGTTTTTTGTGTTTCCCTCGTCTTGGATAAAACTGCAATTATTGTGGCCAAGTTGTAGCTTTTTTCTGATGGCTCAGTGCAGGTCCTTGGAGGTTTCCCTCTGTGCTCTTTTGGCAGAGCTGTACAGCTACACGGAAGGGCCGGAGTTCCTGCTCAACCGCAAGTGCTTCGAGGAGGACTTCAGGATCCACGGTAAGACCCTTCTCTTGGACATCTCACACCTCCGGGGAGGGACAGGGCTGGATGCGTTAGTGCTGCGTCAGAAAGCTGGAGCTGCACACTGATAATCTTCGTGCAATTTGTGCTGGAGATCTCAGGCAGGGCGGCCGACATGGAACCGGGCGGCGGCGGCGGCGGCGTTGGGGGCCCGGGGCCGCTCCCGGGTAACAACAAGGCCCGCGGCGGAGCGGTGCCGCCCGGCAAGGCCCGGGACCTGGGCCGCCCGCCGCGTAAGGACTCCGAGGTCAGCGCCGCCGCCGCCGCTGCCGGGCCCGGCCCCGCGGGTGGGTGGGTGGGTGGGTGGATGGGGGTGGTTCCCGGGCCGCGTCGTCCTCCCCGCCGTGGGCCCGGGGCCTTGCCCGGGAGGTGCCGGGTGGCTTCAAGCCTGACCCGGGCGGTGCTTCCCAACCTCCGCCGTCCCCCGGCCCGGG